AATCCATGTCTCTAATTATCCCTTCCCCTGCTTTGCATATAAATAGCTAATTAGATAGTTTCCCTGTCAGCCATGAAGTATATAATACCCAAAAACACACTCCTTTAGAAATTTAATTTGGGATAACAGATTGTACTAACCAATTGAAAAACCTCAAGATTCATGTTTGGTGAATCATTTGATGTTTTAATTTGAAGTCAGAAATGTCACATATGAATCAAAATATCAGTCCAAGTAATTTATTTATTTTGAAAAATTCTACTTTTTGCAAAGATTTTTCATGTCTTCTTGTTTTATATCAACTCAATGGGTGACAAGAAAAACAATAAGAATAAAGGCTAAAATTTATTTTCTTTAAGAAAATATAATTTAAGAAAGTTAATGGGTGGGGGAAAAATAACTATGTCCTACTTATCAGGTGTAAGAACCAGGAAGCCTGTTTTCTAGCAATTGAATAAATACTTATAATATGTGAAGGTTTCACTTTGTTTATAGGCACAATTTCTTCCAAGCATTATTGCTTTAAGAAATAGCTGCTGAACATGATTGGTGTAATCTGTGCCAAGGGTACAGGAGAATGTCAGACTATTAGTGAACTGTGTTCAGAAACACTGCCATGGGAAAGCCTCAAGAATGCTAAAACTAAGAATGCACACTGTATTAGTTTGTTTTTCTGCTGCTTATAAGAGTACCTGAAACTGGGTAATTTACAAAGAAAAGAAATTTATTTCTTACAGTTATGAAGACTGTGAGGTTTCAAGTTGAAGATCCTTATCTAGTGAGAACCTTCTGACTCTCTGAATCAGAGTCGTGAGGAGGTACAGGATGTTACGTGGTGAGAGGACTGAGTTTGCTAATGTACTTGTTCAGGTATCTCTTCTTCTTATAAAGCCACCAGTTCCACTCCCATGATAACCCATTAATTCATTAACCCATCAATCCATTCAACCATTAATGGATTAGTCCATTTATAAGGGCTCTGCCCTCGTGACCCAGTCACCTTGAAATAGCCTTACCTTTCAATATTGCCATATTAAGGCTTGTTCCCAACATGTGAAATTTGGGGAACATATTCAAACCATAGCAGACACTGCCTTTCCTTGGGGAAAGGACTAGAGTTAGTTTCTAAAAGTGTATAAGCTTGAAAACTAGCTAGATCTTGTTCATCTCCAGGGGTACTATTTGCATTCTTGGCTGCAAATATCAGCAGCTTAGTGTGGTACATTTAAGTATAAGAGGATTTCACTTTGGGAGGCTGAGGTGGGCAGATCACCTGAGGTCAGGAGTTTGAGACCAGCCTGGGTGACATAGTGAAACCCTGTCTCTACTAAACATACAAAATTAGCCAAGTGTGGTCGTGGGTGCCTGTAATCCTAGCTACTTGGGAGGCTGACGCAGGAGAATCACTTGAGCCTGGGAGGCAGAGGTTGCAGTGAGCTGATATTGCACCATTGCACTCCAGCCTGGGCAACAAGTGAAACTCTGTCTCAATAAATAAATAAATAAATAAAAAGGATTTATGAGAAGATTTTGTGGAAAGTATTCCTATTAGGAGTTTCGTGAATGACTCTTAAGTAGAAACCAAGGGAGGCCACACGCAACAGAGCTCAAAAAGTTTGCTCAAGAAACCACTGTGAGAAACTGTCACTCTTGCTTGCCCTTTATGAAGATTGACCACCCTGAACACTCATTGCTGATATGAACAGAAGACAGGGAAATACTGAGTAAAAAGGGGTCGTTCCCCAGCAAAGGGCCCACAATGAAGCCTGGATACCCATGGCCCTAAATGAGAACAGGCATTTCTGTTTTGGCACCCAAAAAGTTGCCATTTGGCCTGCTGCGTATCCTATCCTGCCTCTATATAAACCCTGAGCCCCAAGTTTTAGAAGAGACCAGCAGACCAGCAGACCACCAATGGCAGAACAATGCAATAGAAAAAGAGAGAGGAGGAGCGACTTCTGGATTATGAGGGGAGTTCAGCTGGGGGCAAACGGAAAAGAGTCCTGCCACTGTGCAGCTGGATACCAGGGCAAGACAATCTTCCCACTCATTCCCTCCTCCAGCTCCCCATGAATCTCGCTGAGAGCCACCTCCACCACTCAATAAAATCTTGCACTCATCCTTCAAGCCCACGTGTGATCCGATTCTTGTGGGATACTGGGCAAAAGCTCGAGATACATAAGGCTATCACACTGGCCCTGTGCCTTTGTGAAAAGGCAGAGGGTCCATTGAGGTGATTAACACACAAACCATCTGTAGACGGCGAAGCTGAAAGAGCTTGGTAACACTGGGGTTGCAGACACTCAAACCTAGATGCTGCCATGGGGCTTATGTCCCAAATTGCTAGCCCTGGTTCCTGCATCTGCCTATCTGCTTGTCCCCCTCCTGTAAAGGGTTTGGGCTCACAGTGGCTGAAGAGAAAGCCACTTCCCTGTTGCATGTCCTGCAAGGGGGGCCCAGGAAACTCTCCCTTTTCATTGCCACATTCTTAATTTGGTGGATGAATTCCACGTGACCTTTAGCATTTGCATCACTACTCCAATATTCAATGTGGGAGTGTTTAAATAGCCACACTTAGATTACTTGATCAAATTCTAAGTTCTAATCAGGGAAGTTCCTCCATCTTCAGACTCCCTAATACAAGTTAAGCATTCGGAGCCATTAGAAATCAACTCCTTTAACAGAGCTCAAGCAGTACGAATTTCATGAAACCCATCCTCTATTTGATTAAGGACAAGTCTCCAAAACTGAGATCTCAGCCCCCTGCCACCTGCACCCTCCATGGATTGGAACCAAAACTAAAACTGTCTTTTCCCAGGGGGATTCAGTTTCATCATCATGGTAATGGAGAATGCAGGTAAATTTTGTTCAGCCCATGCAGGCACTGAGATTAATGTCTCGTTCTTTTACACACTGAACTCGGCATTGATAAGGTCATGAGAGAGCTCCAGAACCATCACTGGCCATCTCCCTACAGAGTTATCCTCTTCAACACAATCTTCCTTGAGAAAACCAAAATTATCTCATTTTTCCCTTTCCTCCCTTATCATCATTTTATATCAGTATGCACAACTTCAGACACTGCTCACTTTTAAAATTCTAACCTATATATGGTCTGAAAATTTCCTTTTCTTCTATCCCCCACTTGCTCTCAACTCCTGAATCCTTTTTCACTGGGACAAATGTAATTCACTGTTCATCACCAGTGAAATCCTGTATGTCTTCAAACTTTTTCATGATTTTGTTTTCTCTTTCTTGCTATAACCTGAACTGGGATCTCTCTTGGAGTATTGCATTCCCCAACTTCTTTTAAGTGATAATTGTTATTTTCATCTCTATGTCTTTTACCATTAAGCACATCCTTGATATTGCCAGAGCCTTCTTCCTCTTCCTTAAAATCTTTTGCTTAAAATCTCAAGTCCTTTAGGCTATATCATCCATTATGTCTCATTAGTGGTGAAATTTACCTACCCTGTTTACCCCCATTTCTATATGTTTTAGTTCTGTCCAAGAAGTTTGCCTATCTTAATTCTTATTGTCTTCGATATATACATGCATATTTGCAATTCTGATACCTGTCTGTTACTTGATTTCTTATTTTATGATCATCTTGTCAACTGCTCTATTTACATCCCTACTCTATGGGCATACCCTGGAATTGTTATTACTCATAGTTAAAACCTGGACATACTTTCAATTTTGTGCACAACCTCACTTTTCATCTCACTCCTCTATTACCCCAATTTCAATAATTTCACCACTCAAATGACACCTCCTTTCCATTTATCTTACTACCACTTCTCTGTTCTTCAATGTATCACTGGATGTCCTTTCTTCCCTCCTTATCCAAATTCAGTGCCATGACCAACCATTTTATTTACTCCCTTGAATATATTCTTTACTCCACTGCTCTTCTTTCAGTTTTGAAACTTACTTGACAAAATCACAACTCTGGTAAATCCAACCTTTTGCCAGCTTTGCATCTGTACCAATGCAAATAATTATGGTTGTATAGATATCAAAATCATGTTGACAGGTCTCATTTAAAATTTATGACTACAAGTGTCAGATAAGCTTTTAATGTTGCCACATATCATAAAATATCTCCCTGGTTCATTCACTTACTAGCTTCTTATAAGTTCATTCACACTTTGTTCATCATTCTCAAACCTCTAACATAAATGCCACCAGGCTTATCATCTGATGAATATAATTTTTACCGAGGTGAGTAAAAAAAAATTAGAAAATAACTTCCATAGAATTCTACCATCATCATCTACCTACATGCTGGCATCTATGCCCACATATCCATCCTTTTCACTTTTTAGTATGAAGTAGCTATTCACACACTTATCCAAATCTAATTCCCTGAGTTGGGCAATGAATTTTATTCCCTCTTAGCTGCTTAATAAATTTTCAAGGAATTTCTACTCCGGGAATTTTTCACTTTATCTCCCCTGCATCATCAATTTTCCCCCTTGTACTGGATCATTCACTCTAGCCCACAAACATGCTGTTATTTATTGGATGTAAATCAAACAAATAAAAAACAACTTTAAACTTATACCTCCCCCACCATACACACTACCCTTTTCAGAGATTGCCATTGCAGGAAAACTCCTCAAAAGAGACCTCTCTGCTCCCAATTTCTAGTCCATCTCCGCTCTCCACACATTAGATGGTAAAATATTTGGAGATTTTAGCTTACTTACTAAACCAGTTGCTTTAAAGGTCATGAAGGACTTCCTTATGCTAAATCCAGTGATGTATTCTTAGTATTTATTACATTTGATCTTGCTAAATATCTTTTCTTACAGTAGATTACATTTTCCTTCTTAAACTATTGGCTTCACTTGGCTTCTGAGAAATCACATCTGTTTCCTTCCCTCCTTACTGATTATTCCTTCTTGGCCTTCTTTTGTGAGTCTTTCTCATTTTCTCAATCTCGGAGATGTATTAATGTTGTGATAACTCAAGGCTCTCTCTCTAGTCCTCTTCTTCATCTACACTCTCTCTTATTTGAGTCTACCAGTTTCATGCCTTTAAATTCCATTCTCGTGTTCCAACCCAGCTCAGCTCAGCCCAGTCCTCTCTTCTGACCTTAAAGTTTTCTTTGACATATCTACTTGGATGCCTAATAATCATCTTTAACTTAACATGATGTTGTTGATCTTTCCTGAAAACCCTCCTCTATCCACTGACTTGCCATTTTCAGCTGATGGTAACTGTCCTTTTAGGTTCTCAGGCCTAAACCCTTGAAGTTAATATTGATTCTCTTCTCTCATACTCAAATCCATCAGGAATGTCTGTGGGTTGAACTTTAAAAAATAATGAGAAACTGATAGCTTCTGATCATCTTCACTGTAACTTCTTGCCCAGAAACGCATTCTCATTTACAGTGTCATAGTCGCCTCTTAATACAGCAGCCAGAGGAATTGTTTTAAAATATGTCACTTCTGTAAATCCTCTCCTGAAAAACTCAACAGTGTTATATCTGGCTCAGGGTGAAAAGCAAATACATATAATGGCTTTGAATTTCCCCTGGCTTATACCTGACACAGCTATACTTCTCCCTTATTCACTTCTACTTAAGGCCATGGAACTGGCTCTTTCCTATGTTTGAATTGCTCGTCCCCTAGAGAGCAGCATCTCCTTCCCTCCTGTGTTCAAGTGTCCCCTCTCACTGCTGATTGACAGCTCTATGTAAAATTTCACCCACCCTCCCTTCTACCTCCATATCCTTCCCTATCCTGAAACTTCTAATCCATTTTTCACCCTTGATTCAGTCACCTTTTAACATAATGTTAATTAACGTGCTATATTTATAGTTTACTGTCTATTTACCTTTCGTATAGTGCAAGTCTCTAAGGGCAAGGATTTCTATCCCTTCCTTTTAATTTTTACATAGTCAATAGGCAATAAATGTGGTTGAATAAATGAATAACAGTCCAAACCTATTCTGAATTTTTTTTCCAGGCAATATTATGGTCTGTTGAGTGACTTTGGCTAGATAATTCATCTATAATTTACTTATTAATATTTTAAAATATGGCCTTAACTCCATTTCCCCTAATAGATAACTATCACAGCTACATTTATGGAATAGTTTAGCTTGCTACACCAAATGCCAAAATCATCACATTCTTATGTGAATAAATGTGACAGATCTTTTTCAGGATTTTATTTTTACTTTCCTTTATTTATCAACTAGTATACCTTACATGGACTGTTTCAGTAATAACTGAGGTGTCAGAGTATTTGTCCTGTCTGGTAGTAAAAATGTCTGCTTGTTGTATAATTGAAAATCCTTGCACATTTAATGTTTTAGACAAACTTTAAGTCAGTGTAAAGAGTTTCTTAAAAACCACATTAGACTTTTCTTTAAAATGGAATTATCTACATTCATAGATTTTGGAGAAATCATCATTCATTTTTCATTAATTCATTCAGCATATCATTTTTGATTGACATCTATATGCCAGCATTGAATTACATATGTGAAAACTACATATGGAGTTTAAAATTTTCTAAAAGTCAAATTAAAAAAGAGAAACAGGTGAAATTAATTTTAACAATATCTTATTTAACTAAATATGACTAAAATATTAATCATTTCAACATGTAATCGGTATGAAAACTAATGCCACAAGGTACTGAACTAGACAGTGAGGTATGCTGGTTGAGGAAAGCAGACAAAATATTGTCCTTGTATACATCATGCCTTCTTTATGGCACTGAAACATCAGATTCTTAGAACTGTAAAATGTCTCCTTATTTACACAATTCTTAAGTTCTGTACAGTTAATAAATTCTCAAATACCTCTAGCGCATTTCTTTATTTATTCCTAGAGTGCTGTCTTTGTTGTCTTTAACAGTGGAGGTAACAATTGGTGGTGTTATTTGTTTTTAATTTATTTCTACTAGATTATTACAACATAAAATAATATAAAATCATAAAATAATATAAAATTTTTTGTACTCAACCACCTTATTACATTCTTTATATTTTTAACAGCTGTTTAGCTATCTGGAAATTTATAGAAAAAATATCACTTAAAAATGTGAGATAAATCTTTTCCCTGTTAATTTTTTTTTATAGTGGATTGGTTGAAAATGTTAGAAAATGTTTTGATGTTTGTTGTAGAATTCTGATAGGTATCTTTTGTTGAGAAATTTTTTATCTCTTTCTAGACTGGTAACTTTTTATAAAAAACAGAAAAACACATATCTAAGAACCCACATTTTAAAAGCTAATTTTAAAGCTAAGCTCCGTGCATATGACTGTGTGTTCTACTTGTGGCTTCAGCTGTAGGATGTTGAGGCTGGAAATTGCCCACTTTGCTGCAGAATCTTCCAGTGCCAATATGCTAAGTTTTTTGCCCTGCTGGGGATTATTCAACTGAGGAGAGAGAAAAGCAATAATTGATCAGCATCTTGGGGTACAAATGCCCAGTTGCTGGAATTTTGTATATCATAGGGAATTAAGAGCTAAGACTTTTACTTAAATCTCCTTTTTCAGATTTTCTCAGAGTCTTAGTCTTTGCTTAATGTCTTCTGAGAAAACACCTTTGATTTTGTACCTAAAAAGAGAGCCAGGGTAATAGCTGGGTGAGGTGAGGAGTGTCAGCCTGTGTTGTATACTGATTTTTAAATGAACCCTCCTGATTTCAGCCTGTCAGCTAATTTCAGACTTCTCCTATATCAAATTTCTGAATTCTAAAATGAAGATTTTGCCAGGATACTATGAAAAATTCTTTTCTTTCCTTATTCTGTACAGCATGCTCTGCAGCAGGGGTCCACAACCCCCTATCCATGGCGTATTAGGAACTGGACTGCATAGCAGGAGGTGAGTGGCTGGCAAGCAGCAAGCCAGCAAAGCTTCATTTGTATTACAGCCACTGCCCATCACTCACATTACCACCTGAGCTTCGCCTCCTATCAGATCAGTGGCGGCTTTACATTCCCATAGGAGCACCAGCCCTTAGTAAACTGCAGGTGCAAGACATCTACCTTAGGTGCTTTTTATGAGAATCTAATGCCTGATGCTCTGCCACTGCCTCCTATTACCTCCAGATGGGACTGTCTTACCCATTTAAAGTTTGAGAATAGGTTGAGGTCGTTTCGGCCCCGAGACCTCTCATCATTTGCTTTACCCGTTAAAACTGCGTGAGGTGGGAGGGTTGCCAGAGGGCCAGTTATCCTGAGGAAAACTTGAGAAGGAACAAGCTACTAGATGGTTCGATTAGTCTATCACCTCTATACCCGGGTCGGACGACCGATTTGCACGTCAGGACCGCTACGGACCTCCACAAGAGTTTCCTCTGGCTTCACCCTGCCCAGGCATAGTTCACCATCTTTCCGGTCCTAACAGTGCGCTCGCTCCACTTCCCCGGCGCGTGGAGGGCGACAGGGAAAAGAGCTCAGGGCTCCCACTGATTCTACATTATGGTGAGTTGTATAATTATTTCATTTTACTTTACAGTGTCATAATAATAGAAATAAAGCACACAATCAATGTAATACGCTTGAATCATCCTGAAACTATCTGCCGCCTTCACTCCAGTCCATGGAAAGATTGTCTTCCATGAAACCACTCCCTGGTGCCAAAAAGTTTGGGGACCATGGCTCTGTAGTCTATGGCTTCCTCTGCCGTTGTAAATCAGTTTCTATTTCTCTACTTCCTTTTAGTTGTTAAAAAATTTGGTTAAAATTTTGGTTAAAAATGTAGCTATCCTTTCCCCCATTTCCTTGTGTACTTATGCCTTTGCATTTATCATAATTCTAGTGAGTTCTCTGGAGAAATGAGTGATAAAACATGTTCAATCAATCTGCTATTTAAAACTTAAGTTGCTTCCATTTTATGAATTCATAAATGAGTTAGCCACATAGTTTGAAGTTAACTATGTATTTTACTATGTATATGTTCTCCTGCATTCTCTTTTCTTGGATTCAGTTTTTTGTTTGTTTTTTGTTTTGCTGGAGACCATACATGAACAATTAATCAAGGGGAAAGAATTAGTTTTCAGCTTCCTGATTCCTTGAATTTCTGAAAATGTATTTATTTTACATTTATATTTGAATGTAATTTAGATGAGTCTAAAAACAATTTCCATAGGCCCTTTATAGGCATGATTTATTGTTTTCTATAATACTGGAAATGTTTATCATTCTCTCTGTTTATGGAATTTTTCTATTTGTTCCTGGGCATTAACAAATTTCATCACAGTGTTTCTAGGTGGTTTTTTTCAATTATAATTTTAGTACTCATTGGCCCTTTTCACATAATGACTCAAAACTGTTCTGATTAATAATTTTAAAAATTATTTTCATTATTTCTTTGACTATTTCCTATTCATTGACCTCTTACATCTATTCTCTGTATCTCTTTATATGTAATTTTTGAATACATATATACATATATATGCACATATATACAAAAATACATATACATATAAATATATTTTATATATATAATTTTTTCTTATTTTTTTCTTTGGCCTGTGTTTTGAGGAAATTCTCTATCTTAATTTTCTTGTTCATTTAATTTTCAGGTACAGTCATTCTAACATTTGACCTTCAGTCAACTTTCTACCTGCTCCCTTCTTTTCCATCTACCCATATGAGTTATCTGCTACTTCAGAACAAATTGCTCCAAAACCTGATGTCTTAAAAAAGAAAACAATTATCTCATAGTTTCTGTAATACAGGCATGGCTTAACTTGTTTCCTATGCTTTAAATTCTCCCATAAGACTGCAATCAAGATACTGGCCAGAGCTAAAGTCTCATTTAAAGGCTCAATTGAGGGAGTATCTATTTTCAAACTCACTCATGTGATTGTTAGCAAGATTCAGTTATTCATGGGCTGTTGGAGAGAGATCCTCAGTTTTTCACTATTGGCTGGAGGACTCCATCAGCTTTTTGCTATGTGGGCTTCTTCATAGGGCAGCTCACAACATGGCAGCTGGCTTCCCTCAGAGTAAGCAAGTAAGACAGCAAAAGAAGCATCATAAGCTGGAAACTGCAGTCTTTTTGTAATCCAGCCTTGCAAGTGTTATCTATTATGTTTGCCATATTCATTTATTAGAATTGCTAAATCCAAACACTGCTCAAAGGTAAGAAATTAAATAAAGGCATAAATACCAGGAGGGGGGATTCACTGGGAGACATCTTAGAGGTTCCCAACCATCCACCTCCTCCCCATTATGTTTATTTTACCAGCAAAATATTCTGAATGATTTTTAAATAGTGATCAGTTAATTTTTAATAAATGTGAAGTCATTTTTAATTTCTTAGAGGATGCTATTTGTAATTAATTTGAGCACTTCTGATTGTTGCAATAACTGTTTTGTTCGGTGGTCAGTTCTGATTGTTTAATAGGACTGCTTAGCGATGATGGCATATTTTTCTACATTTATAACTAAAAGACTAATTTGATCAGTATTGCATGTACCCAACAAGAGAAAAATCTATATTGTGCTGGTAGAGAATACAAATACTGATTTGGAGATTCTGCTAGTATGGTCGTGCAGAGAAGGGCTGGACAAAGATGGAGCCTCGCAGGTCCACACAGCATCTGTCTCCTGAGTGCAGCTGAAAAGTTATTTGAGAAACTCCTCTTTTTCTGTCTAGAATCAAAGCTCATGCTGGGTGTTTTCTGCCTTTAAATAGAGAAGACTATTTGAGATTTAACCTGAGGGTAGCTTCTCAGAGAGGAGCCTCCTGCAGGTGTTCCTGTGGTCTTTAATTAATTACATGGGACCTGCCCGACGGCTCACTGCATTTTTTTCAACCTGACTGGCTTTGATTTGAGGTTAGGCCGTGGCTTTTTCAGGAAAAACTTTTTTCTTTAGGTTCTCTCTCTTTCCTATAGAGATTCTCAGGCTGCGCTTTCTATTGAGTTTTCTGGTGAAGTCAATATATTTCCCTTTATCTAGAATTTCTTTAACTCTTTCCCTCTTAGTGAAACATTTTCTGGTTTTCCAGTGACCAAGATGGTGTTAATTTTTCCCAGCTTTACTAAACTTTAGACAGGCTTCCCCCTGACTCTAGATCTCTGATCTCCCTTTTCTTAGAACTTCTTATTTAGAAAACTTAAAATTGCATTTTTTTTCTCTGCTTATTTAAGATATAAATCTTCCTTGAGCCTCCAGTCACTCTTAAAACCCAGGAATGTCTTGCTGAAGGCTCTATGAGCCACTTCCTAGAAACATAATCATGGAAGGAAGGAAATAGTGCTCCTATCTCCCAATCTCTGTGAGAAGGTAGGAGCCTAATTTCAATAAGTGCCAGTAAGCAAGCATAGATGTCCTAATCACATTCACCAACCTCTTGGATGTCTTGCAGTACCCTTTCCACTAACTTAGCACAGCACTTAAAGACTTCTATATTTTTGTTTAAACAGAGTTGAATTTAGTCTGTCTCTCCTATTGCAACAGTTTTAAATAGTCTTCCTTCCCTATTTAATTCCATTTAGTGTAATTTTTCTTTGACATCAGAACTGCTCTAAATTTGTACCTATTTTTAGAATTTGTGCTATCATTTCAATGAAATGTTGTACAAGTCAGAGGTAAATGTGTGTAGTGAGACTTCTGGAATTGGCAGTGCTAATCCAAGTATTGTATTTTGAAAATTAATTTGTTACTAATGAATAAATTGCTAATGTTTCTATTTTATATACCTGCTGCATTCTCCCAATGTTCTTCTTTAATTATAGTACTTTATTTTTTTCAGAGCAAGTTTGTAGTAATAAATTATTTGTAATAAGTTGTCTATTTTGTAAAATATTTTTCAGTTTAACTTCATAATTTAGAAAATTAACACATAAAATTTAGCATATCTGAAGTACATGTTACATTATATACTTCTCTATGAATCTCAGCTTCCTGTCCAAGATATCTGAACATAACATAGATGAAAATTACAGAGGCGCGGCATCTTCTGCTTAAAATTTTGTAATTATAGTCCAGGTCTTTATGCCAATTTGAAATTAGATCCTCTGAATTTAATGGTGTCAGGTCTATTTTTAGTTTGGTACTATTATACATTTGGCTTAACTCCTCTAACCCATATCTTGTATGAGCTCAAATTTTCTTATCTAAATATTTTCCAATTACTGTGGATTTCTCATGAGTACTTAGGTTCTGCCTTTCAGCTTATTTGCACTTTACCCCCAAGTGATGCTCTTCCTCAACTACTCACTAACCCAGATGTAGAAATCACTTTACCTTGGTTATCTCTCAATGCCCACCCCCTACAAGCCTCATGCACCTGATATTTGTGTCTATAGGAAGGAACTCTAAGTAGTTCTGGTTTTACATTAAGGCAAAACAAATACTCTAAACCTTATTGTTAGACATTTATTTCCATAAAGGTCTACAGACCTCTCGAAAGCAAGAATCTTTCATAACATATTTGTTTATCTATATACTCCAAGTTTCTGTTATTGTGCTTCTCTCTGCTCTGTCTCTTGATGTCCTTCGTATCATTTTTGTTTTTCTAGGTTTTGCAATCCTTCTAGCCAGGGTCCTCTTCAACCTCTTTTCCAAAGAAATTTCACTTTCAATTCATTGTGCAGTTCTAGAGCCAATTTTATATAGCCAAGACTCTTTATGTTCTCTTAACAGAGAGCCATTGACTCAAAGTCTTACACTTTAGTTGTTACAAACTGATTAAAAAACATTTTTAAATTCTTGTTTTCAGTTCTACTTTTGAAAATAAGTAGCTATGATTAGTTCGAATTATAAATGTTATTTTACTATGTTACAATTGAAATTGTCTAAACATTCTCATAATGTCATTTAAAAAATGCCTAAAACTAAGGGCCAGATAATATTTCAGCTTTAATTTTCTGGCCAGTTATTCTGTTGCCGAATATTGTATATTGTCATAGGATCAGTGTAACAGAATAGTTCCCTAAATCTCCTTTTCTTAAATTATAAACTTTATTTTACTTTTCTTTGAATATATCTGCTTTGCTTGGACAAGTTACTTCCCTGTATTTTTCAAATGAAAACCTGTATTAAATATATTTAGAAATTAATTTCTGTTGTCCTAACTAAGGGAAAAAGAAATCAGTACTTAAAAATACAAAGAAAAGTCTGCATCATTTGAATAGCAAAAGACTAAAATTAATAAATCATTTAGTTTTAGGAACTCAGGAGGACAAATACAACAAAATAATTCTAAGGAGAGGAAATGATACATATAAAAGCAGAAAGTTATAAAGAAAATATTCAGGAAAAGAAGAAAAAAGATATCTAGGGAAACAGAAACAGGTAGAGAGAAAACCTGTAACTAGTAAAAGAGAAAAAAGGCATAATAATAGATTAATAGATAAATCTCTGAAATAATTTTCTTGAAAAAATGTAATTAATATGTG